GCGATTACCCCGCGTTCATTGACTCCGGCATCGATAACACCGCGGTGAAATCGCGGTTGGTTTAACCGCAATTACAACACCGAAGGGGGGGAAGCGTTGTTATTATTATTTCTCATCGGATTTTAATTTCTTTTATTTTGCTGTTGCGTGAAACGTCGCGCGCGCGCGATTCCGCTGTCGGTGCCAGGCTTGGTTCACGCGTCGGCGTCAGCACCGGGAGCTCTCCCCACGCATCGGCGATTCCACGGGGCATCGCGAGTCCATCCAGGGATCTGATTCCTCTCGAACCCCGCGGCGAACGTGGCTGCCACTAATGGTCGCAGGGGTCACGTGACCCCATCGCGCCTACTGTACGATAACCAAAACCAAATTATATTTATTTGGGCACTCCGCGATTGCATTAAGTCCCCCCCCCCCCCCCCTCCAATGCTATGTTTCGTGGTCGGAGTTTGTTGGACCATACTTCACCACGATGGCAAGTGCGAGTTGTGTAAAGAAGATGGGCAAGCGGGCGACCAGTTTCAGATATCACTTGCCACTGATGTGAGCCATGGATGGAAATAATTTGATTCGGTTTACGCTGCGCTCACCACTGCACAATCACGCTCACCATACAGCATTTACAGCCAACAAAAGTATTGATTATTACACATGCAATATCATGCATCTGTTGTGTGTTTCATCAACATCATCAGCCATAGGCAATCCACTGCTGGATGAAGGCCTCTCCATGCCACCACCAGCGATCACGTACCTGCGATGCAATCGTTCACTTAGCACCTCTATTTCTCGCTCCACCCCCTTGCATTCCTTGGCTGCCACATAGTTATTGTTCTCAAGCGTCAGCCGTCATCCCTTCTAGCATTTTTCCCGCCCAAGCCCCACTTACTTTTCTGAGCAGTTTGAATGTGCAATTTTAACTATATATATATAATTGTACTGCCCTCTGTCAATCCACAACTGGACGATGACATCCTCCACAATGTCACCCGTGGAGGCCTCTTTGACGAAATGTCACTTCGCTGATCGCTGTGGAATTGGCCAGGAGCGAACCAGGACCGGTGCAGATCTCACTCGCAACTGATGCAAGGAGAGATAACCTAAGTGGGTGATTTCATGGTATTCAAGTTAATGGAGGTCTGGAGCTGTTTTATTTTTGGAAGCCTACTCTTCCAGCGTGGAAGAGTAGGCCAAATACGGCCTATAGAGTTTCTCGAGAGCTTCCTCGAGTGGAGGCGTTTTCGCCAGCGGTGGCGCGAACAAGAAATTACAGGGCTGCTCCATACCTACTTCTCTACCCTGGCATGTCAGTGTTGCTTTGATATTAATCAGAGCAATGTACTTGTTATTATCTACATTTAGACAAGGTGTTGAGGATTGGTGAATTGGAGTTGTTACTATCGGGGAAGCAGTTTTAAGTGTTTCTTTTCCCTCATTCTCACAATGTATTTTCAGTACAAATTCAAATAAAAAAATGCACGTGAATAATCGGACATCGGGCCATTAATTTCTTACATAAGGAAAGTTTCCTTCGAAGTTATCGGCCCCTTTCCCCCCGCTCCTCTTCCGTGTGGCGAGTTTCAGCGATAAGCGACTGATTTTTTTTCCATTTTGTGATAGGAACAACATGTTTTACATCGACGCGTGACTTGTTAAGCCGTGCAACGGTTGAACTCATTGGCTGTGAGCTGATAAATCGCGTTCGGGGCCACCGTTCAATCGCCTTCACGGGCAGCGGTCGTCTATTGCACAATGCACACAAAGTAAAACAACAACAAACGCACATGTTTTATTGTTTTTTATATATACTTTCTCATTTTATTGTTTCCCTTCAGCGTGACTTTTGCCGAAAGAACCACGAATAACAAACAACAAACATCCATAAAGAAAAGAGGGCAAACACCGCGGTTGAATTGACCAGAATGCAATCGGAGACTGTTCAGTGGCTTTTGGCATGCACGGCGTGCCAGCCGTCTTGCGTTTCGGCTAATTGAAGGTGAAGACGATTGCGCTCCGCGGGCGATGCCGTTGTGCACCGAGATCTTGATGGACACGAGCCACCAGGGGATCTGCACCCGAAGGGAACTGCGAGAGAGATCATGGACAATCACCGCTGGGTTGCTTTTTGCGTGGGCTTCAACGGTTTACAACAGCTCCTTTTTTCTGTGCTTTGCGAGCACGTGTTACGTAACGTCGACATAACTCGTATCGCTGTTGCTTTTATGAATGTACGTTACATATATAGGGGCCGTACATAAATGACGTCACGCACCTGGGGAGGGGCGGGGGGGGGTCAGATATTTGTGACGATGTGTGACGAGGGTTGGGGTGGGGGGGTTTGAGAAATGTGACGTCACATCAAAATGCGCAACTTTAAATAAATACAGACAACACGTTCTACTTAATTAAATATACTTTTTGATAAATGTTTTCTCCTACAACATCAGAGTGCAGCGCCACATTAAATACGCGCTACAATGACTATAGTTTAAAGCGATTTGAAGCATGTTTTATAAAAAAAATTTGGGGGGGGGGGGGCAGAGCTTTGTGACGTCATATTTGAGGGGGGGTTTCACTTTTTGTGACGCCGTGTGACGAGGAGGGGGTCAAAAATCGTTCAAAAACGCGTGACGTCATTTATGGACGGCCCCATATATACGAAAAGTGTTGCGGAGGACTCGGGTCGGACGCCAAGTGCCCGTGAGGGTAGAGGGACGAAGAAGCGGCGTCGACCGTAGCCCCGTCGCACGGATTGACCTCTCGTGACAATACCGCCTTGCCATTGGAGCGGACTTTGTTTGACAAGCCTGACTGCTGATGAGTCCAACAAGGTCGGTGGGTTTGCGTGTTTTAAAGAAATGCTGCTGCTTGGACAATAACAACAATAATAATAATAACAATTTACGCAATCCTCAACAATGATTCATGATAAAGGTTTTTGGGTTCAATCTCGATTTGAAGCTTTCGTGACTGCATTTTTGGGTTATTTCGCATGAGTGTAAATGTTGTCGTAACCCTCCACAGCCAGTAAGGTTTGTGACGTAAACAACGAGCCAATTAGTGACTACATCAGCCAACCGGTGTGTTGGAGAGTAAATCCACAACATTTACAATTTGAGTACGACGCTTCGCTGGTAATTACATCCAGCATCATCGGGCGATTTGCCAGAAACCTTTATTATGAATAATATTGGTCGCGAAAGCCTACGTGTTAAACCTCGAATATGAATTCGATCCATGCGAGGCCAGTGTGACTACACACACACACATCATCCCTCTCCCGCCCGTGTTATCTCGTTCACACTCTGTTCATTTACTACTCTGCACACTCACTCACCCACTCACTCGCCACACTACAGGTCCCAATGACTCACTCACCAACTCACTCACCACTCTGCAGGTCACAATAACTCACTCACTCACTCACCACACTGCAGGTCACAATAACTCACTCACCCACTCACCACTTTGCAGGTCACAATAACTCACTCACCCACCACTCTGCAGGTCACAATAACTCACTCACCAACTCACCACACTGCAGGTCACAATAACTCACTCACCCACTCACCACTTTGCAGGTCACAATAACTCACTCACCACTCTGCAGGTCACAATAACTCACTCACCCACTGACCACTCTGCAGGTCACAATAACTCACTCACTCACCACTCTGCAGGTCACAATAACTCACTCACCAACTCACCACACTGCAGGTCACAATAACTCACTCACTCACCACTCTGCAGATCACAATAACTCACTCACCAACTCACCACACTGCAGGTCACAATAACTCACTCACTCACCACTCTGCAGGTCACAATAACTCACTCACTCACCACACTGCAGGTCACAACAACACACTCACTCACCACATTGCAGGTCACAATAACTCACTCACTCACCACTCTGCAGGTCACAATAACTCACTAACTCACCACTCTGCAGGTCACAGCAACTCACTAACTCACCCACACACTCACCACACTGCAGGTCAACACAACACACTCACTCACCTTCTGACTCACCACACTGCAGGTCACAATGAATCACTCACTCACTCATTCACTCACGCACTCACCACACTGCAGGTCACAATCACACACTCCCAAGATCACAGCTGGAGACCCCAGTGACAATTTATCGTTTCACACCGGTTGTTGAAGTCGCGTGTCCCGGTTCTCGGTGTCGCTGTTTCTTATCGGAACACAATCAATAAATATGCATGCCTTATGGAAGTGATCGAAAGCGCTGAAATCCAACGATTGCTTCCTTCTACGGGGTGGTGACACGACCTAGCGGTAGCGTGCTGTGGCTGTTCGTAGTTCCACTCCGGCAGGCCTCCCTGGTTATCACTTCAAGATTTTTTGTTGCTCTAATCATTAAATATGCGCCATCTGCTTGCGAGTGGATGTTAAATATCCGCTGACGTCATTCTAAATGAGTGAGTCTTTTTTAGTGCCAGAGTTGTGGTTCGACATTTGCTAAGAAACCAAAAATCAACAAATGACACCGCAAATTACTCGAGCGGGAATCGCGCGCAGCAACACCGCCAACCCCCATCGCGTTAAAAAAAAAACTAACGCAGCAATTGCTTCGCGTGGCTTGGGAGGCCGCTGTCGTCGTTCGCCGTCGACGCTTCGCGCTTCCAATTCAGCGGCTCACGGCGAGGGCGGAGTGAGCGGTCGCGACGCCACCCGGGGACCGGATGTCCCCCCCAGGGGGGGGCCGGGAGTCCGGCACGTGGGCGGCAGCCCTGCCTCGGGTGGTGCCCAGGGGCACCGGTTGGGCTGACGGGACGCCACCGCTCGGCGGTGAGATTATTAGCACCGGGTTGTGATCGGTGACGTTCGCAGGCAACCAATGGGTTTTTGCGCGTGCGAGAGGCGGGGGCTGTCGTCGGTTTGTAGGGCTTGGAGTGCATTCCGGTATTGGCTGCGGGATTTCTGACGGCATTGAGGTCCTTTAATCAGCGGGGGGGGGGGGGGGGGGATTCGTTGGCCGACAGCCGGTTGGTGCTCTTTCAAGGGAACGTTTTCCCTGCGGACGACTCGGAGGTTCAATGTGGGCAAGTACAGGAAGCCATACTCTTTGGTTCCTTCGGTAAAGTCGCGTAGGCAGAAATGAAATCACGTAAAATAAAATAAAACGCAAATCACGACGTTTCGATCGCAACACAGGCAGGAAGCCACGCAAGCAAGCCGTGTTGGTCTCAGCGCTCCGGGTGATTGAAGCCAGATGGCCAGGTGGGTATCATACCAGCTCGGTACGACGACTGCTGAGCCCGGGGTTGGGCAGCGGAGCTCCGCTGTTTGGGTGCACGCCGGCTGGTGATGGAGTGTGGAGAACGCCCCGGCTGCGCTGCCATGCCAGCGCGCGCACGGGGGTCTCACCAGTGCCGGATAATTATCCCCGTAGCAAATGTAGCTACTAAATATGTCGCCGCTACATGTGTAGGGACTGCATGGCACCGCCTGGGGCAGCGCAGCCGGGCCGCCCTCCACACTCCATCACCAGCCGGCGTGCACCCAACAGCGGAGCACCGCTGCCAAACCCGGCTCGGCAGTCGTCACACTACATATGTAGTAGTAGCTACATACTACATATGTAGTAGTAGCTACTACTACATATGTAGTAGTAGCTACTACTACATATGTAGTAGCTACTACTACATATGTAGTAAAAATCGTGGTAATTAGTAAGGAGTAACAACATTTACGGACGCGTGTTTGGCAGTGGTGATATCGTTAGTTAAAAAAAAAACGTTCGTTCCTTTCTCAAACGAATTAACCTTTTTTGGTTGTTTAATAATTCCCCTTCAAAATCACACGTTCTTTATTCCAACAAAAAAGCATCTAACGTGCAGGGTAGAGGAAGAGGCAAAGGTTCAGCACTGCAATGTTTTGCTCATGTCACTGCTAGCGGAAGGCCCTCCACTAGAACGAGGCGTAGACGGTATTTGGCCTACTCGTCCATGCCGGCCACATGTTTTGGAAGAGGTGGTGGAGTGCCCATATGTAGTAGCTACTACACATGTTGTAGCTACTACATACATATGCAGCTAAGGGCCCCACACTTTGAAGGGCCCCGCGCTAAATGCTTTTAAGCTATAAACTCCGGTTCAGTGATTTTGCACTTGCTCTATTACTATAGTACTATACCGCCTTCAACTTTTATGAACGACTGGGTGTTTAAGGTTAGCGAGTTGTCGTGTTATCTGGCTGCATAGTAAATTAAAACACACAATTAATTTACCATGCAAGTAAAACAAAATTCTGTGTTTTAATATTCATGTTTTTATTTTATTTTAGGGCCCCTTTATAACATATGCTACAGGCCCCGCACTAGCTCGATCCGGCACTGGGTTTCACCCCTCGGTCGGTCTTGCCCTTGGATCACCACTCGGGTCAGCCGGCAGGTCGCGATGGACGGCGTTCGCGAATTCACGGGTCATGCTCGCGTCGGGAGGCTCCGTGGCGTTGTGATGCTCAGCTTCGTCGTATCGACGTTGATTGCACAGTTGGTGTGTAATTAGTGAGGGGCTCTGCTCCCAACGCACTCGCACACACACACACACACAAAGACAAAGATCCGCCCTGTAGCCTGTAACAGACTGTAGGGGCAAGTGCTGTTAGCGAGTAGCACCTATGAAGGCCTGCACGGCACACGAGAGGATGGGTGGCCAGCACCACGCCTGGCAATGATATTACACATCTCACCAGGTAGCTAATTGAGGCTGAGTAAACCTAGGCGAGGCCCAGGACCTGTTCAGTTAATCGTCACCGGTGTTGGCCGTGAGCGGGATTCGAATCCACACACGCACGCGCACGGAGGCACGGCACTCGTCGGCTTTTACAAAGAAAGGCGGCATTCATAAACCACGCTTAATAACTGCGAGGGGATCTACGGACATTTAACCATTCATTTTAAAACTAGCAGATATTCAAGAAACGCAGCAGAGCTTTTATTATTTCACGGTCGCGTGTCTCTCGGGGGTTAGGGAGGCTGCGGTGTCTCCTCGGTTTGGCAAAGCGGGAAGGCAGCAAGGGCTAGCTGTGTCTTTTGAAAATAAAAATGCAATGCTTGTTCAAAGAGTCCCTGTGGCCAGTCTCGTAATAAAACAGCTCGTTAAATCAACACACGGAGGTTCATTTGAGCCACATTATTACCAGCCCGGAGCAGGATCCCGCTTCATTGTTTTTTTTTGCTTGTGTTTACTGGCGTGGAGCTCAAAGTGTCCATTTGAGGTTAAGCGTTTTCGTTTGATAATTATAAAACGAAAACTGCACCACCGCAGGCAATTCTAATTGCCTGCGGTGGTGCCGGCCGCCAATTGGTTGGAGAGCCGAGACGTTGAGTGGAGCAATTCCGTGTGGGAGCACACGGCTTGGCAGTACATTGCTGTGGGTGAGCTGCTGACACATTCATATTTACTTCACAAGCCGGGGCTAGGGTCGACTACCTTTTGACCTCTTCGTGACAATGCCAACATGGCACCACGGTGACGAGATGGTAACGACCTGCGCCTGGTATACAAGAGGTTGTGTTGGGTTCGATCCCCGACCCTGACGCCTGCTGCTGTGTATTAGGAGTTTACGTTTTCTCCCCGTGGTCGCGTGGATTTTTCTCCGAGCCCTCCGGTGTTTCCCTCCACATTTAGAATCAACGTCACGCGTTCAGAGCATTTAGCCACTACAAATGTCCGCGTGACGATTAGCCACTTCGTTGAGCTATCACTTGTTCTAGCCAGGGTCTCTAACTGAATAAGAGCTACGCAGCTCAGTGGGGCCTTGCCTGTTAAAATAAAAATCGTGGTAATTAGTAAGAAGTAACAACATTTACGGACGCGTGTTTGGCAGTGGTGATATCGTTAGTTAAAAAAAAAAACGTTCGTTCCTTTCTCAAACGAATTCACCTTTTTTGGTTGTTTAATAATTCCCCTTCAAAATCACACATTCTTTATTCCAACAAAAAAAAAAACATCTAACGTGCAGGGTAGAGGCAGAGGCAAAGGTTCAGCACTGCAATGTTTTGCTCATGTCACTGCTAGCGGAAGGCCCTCCACTAGAGCGAGGCGTAGACGGTATTTGGCCTACTCGTCCATGCCGGCCACATGTTTTGGAAGAGGTGGTGGAGTGCCCACACTTTACCCCACCACATAAGACCTGTACACAGGCAATGCGTATTTGGCCTACTCTTCTACGCTGTCCAGATGGCTTTTAAAAGTTGTGAAAAGTGCCCACACTTTACGCCACCAGAGGCCATCGGTGGGGGTGGGGGTGGGGGCGAGTGCGGGCGGCGGGGGGGGGAGGTCTTTAAGAAACTTGCACTATCGCCTCAACTTTCGCACTGGGAGATTGATTGGACACGGCCAACTCATGGCTTGTAAGTCGAGCGTGCCAATTATCACACCATGGCAGAATCCCGCTGCGTTGCTCTGTAATGTAAACCAGACTACAACGGTAAAATAATATCCTAGGCCCGGCTCCCGCGATCGATACCGAACGTACCACGATCATCGCCGCAATAATCACCGTTGCCGTCATCGCTGGAATCCAGCTTTTTCCATTTTCAAGTTAAATCGACGTAGCCTTCACGTTCACCGTACAATATATCCGCGATCACCCTTTTTATGCCACCGTATACACATCCCTACCCCCCTTCCCAATTTAATTGCGGACGTGCTATCGTTGACTCGTCACGAACGAGAGAATCTGTTCGGAACTTTCTTTCGGAACGCTTCGTGCTCTAGAGAACGGCATGCGGAAGCGGATATCCCAGCGCTACATCTGAGAGCTCTTCGAGTGATCTCTGGTCCACACAAAGAGAGAGGGCAGCACTTTCCCACTCGATCTGCGTACGCGAGTAGGCTTCATCACGTGACAGTGGAACCAATATATATTCATTCTTCGGAGCTGGAATTTAGCCAAATTAAGTTGCGGAAACAAATTTAACGTAATGGTTTTTTTTTTTCGTGCAATCACCATTGATCGGGCTGCAACCATGAACTCGTCACACTCAAGGACCCGGTTTATCACGGGCAGCTGAAACCTGAATTCAAACCCAGGTCCTTAGTGGTGCCGGTTCGGCACTCTGAATCCAATGTCATCTTCAACCAAGCACTGCTTAAATCCGTCCAATAATCCGTCTTTTCTCGCGTTCATCTCCCTGAAACTTGAACGTCAAAAAAAAATAAAAAGGCAACGGGGAACAAAATAATTACGGGCCCGTCTGCTGGCGTCTGTGTTTGCTCTTCGGATTCAATTTTTGTTGGCGAGCACATCAAGATAACTCCTGCACACGTGGGTTTGTGCCATCGGAACCGATGGACCTTTCAATTTCGACACCAAGCCGAGGCGCTAAGGAGTCAATCACCTGCGTGCCTGCGTCGATCGGTCACCGCTCAGCGGCTTGTTATGGATAAGCTGTCGAATTAAACCTCCGAGTATTATTTGTTTTGTGGACACATCTGACATTCCCCTCTGTTATTCCGTTGGTTCTCCAAGCTCGCGAACACATTGGCTCTGTGTGTGTGTGAGGATGCATCGTATAGGTGACACATTACAGCTGTTGGCCAGTCCAACAAAAGGTGAATATTTGAGATGTGTTTGGGGCGCTCATTGGGCAGCGGTGGTGAAAATCACGAGCAAAAAAACGAAGCAAAATTTTAGAGCTCCAAGTATCTAAATGGGTCCGAGATTAATTAAAAGAAATGGGAACTCATGAATTATCAGCTAAAATTCAAATTCTCATAAACGCAACACGCTAGTTAACAGCCAATAAATCTCTCTTATCTCTGCTTCTCTCATTTTGCGTATTATAAAATCAGAATGTTTGTCCACATTTATTAAATCTCACAACTGCTCTCTCTCTCTCTCGGCTACATTATTGCTGCTGTAGGTTCTAATCTGGGTTTCTGACACCAGGGATGATACATACTTCTTGAAGGTAGTGAGTTGACAATCGCGGGCGGGTCACCAATGACCAATACCAGTACCCGCCACTCGCCACAAAGCGACGGTGATGTGAAGACGGCGCCCGTTCCAGGTCAGGTGCCCTTGAAGTGTCGAAGGCTCGCTGTCAGGTCACAGGAGAGACCCAGGTGCCGTGAGTTGACTGAGATGACTGGCAGATACATCAGCTGCGCACCCTACTCTGCCTATTTACAAGCACAGCGGTGGAAACACCGCAACACACGTACACATATAGACACAGACCCCCAACATAAAATCTTACATTGTTGACT